ATATATTTATTTATTTTCAATCATATAATCAACAAATTTTAAGACTAAAAAACCTTTTGTTTTCTCTCCTACCCTTTTCTATTTTTTATTCACGTGTTATTATTAGGCACTTTCTCTCTCTATCTCTCACTTTCTCTCTCTACTTCTCTCTTTCTCTCTCTACTCGCCCTCTCTCTCTTTCGCTCTCCATCAAGCTTATCCATAAACTTGTATCAAACGAATATGACAATAGTATCTCTCTCTCTCTCTCTCTCTCACGGCTCTTACACGGCGAAGGAGCAGTGGTGGTGGTACACTTGCTCCCCAACAACGCCACGGCCAGTAACCTCTTTCTTCTCTCCTGGTAAGCCCGCACCATCTCCACCTCAAGCGACGGAAAAACCCATTCTATGTATTGAGCCTTCACTTTCTCCGATCAAAACTTTTGCCCCAAATTTTGGTTTTCCTGTAAATTTAGCTCAATCAGCTCCAACCAAATCTGCCTAAAAGACCACCTCCAAATTTTCACGGAAATTTGATGCTTTAGGGAGATTAGTTACTTCTTCTCCAAACACGGGTTCAAACTTTGAATCTCCGGTAAATTTCTTCAAGTCGGTCTTCAGTGAGTCTGCATTGACATCAAAATTTTCACGAAATTTGGGGAAATCACCATTGTCAAATGGTTGTACGAATATTTCAAACGGAGAGGGAGTTCTGTGAGGAAGTTGTGGGGACGAAGAATTAGGGTTTACTGGCCCTTGGACAAAGAGAGAGGGGCTGGAAAGTGGGTTTCAGTAGAGAGAGATAAAAACTATATGAGTTTTTTCCCTACAGGGAGTCTCGGCCAATGGATTATTATTAGTAAAGAGAGAAAGTGTTTGGGCAGAGAGAGAGAGAGAGTCTTCCGTCATAGAGAGAGGAGATAGCTAATAGCAGGTGAAAGAAAGGAAGAGAGAGGATAAAGGTATTTTAGTTTTAAATTTGTTTATAAAAAGTAAATACAAGAAAAATAGTATTGGGTTTAAGATGTGATATTGAAAGCATTGGGGACTAAGATGTTTACAAAATTGATTTTAGAGTATATATAATTTCTTATTTAATTTTAGATCCATGCTTCTTTTCATGAGAGCAGTGTTAACATTGTTACTTTTCATAAAAAAAAAAAATGTTAACTTCATTTAAAAAATAAAAATAAATGCCATAACTGGAGAACGAGCCATTCTTATATGTAAATGGTGAAGAATTGGACCCAATTTTGGTCTAAGTTCTTAATGGATTCCGCCAAACATTCATCCGAAATTTAGGGTTAGAAGAGATGTGACAAAATTTAGGAGGATTGATAATTGAGCTAGTGTGCTGTAATCTATACGAGAACACTGCACATCTACTCCCTTAACTCAAAAGACCTACTCGGTAAGATTTGTTTTTTGATAGGAAAGTTTGGGAACCATCTAAGAATCGTTATATAATTATTTTTGAAAGGAAAAATTATTGAATTTTGATTTCTTCCTCATCAAAAAATTGGACGGTCTCAATTCAATCGTGGCTCTGTTTGTTTGCACTAAATAGGGGTTTGAGTCTGTACTTCCATTTTATGAGGTGAGCCTGGAATTACATCCCAAAATTTAGAATCCCGAAATTACTGACACATTTGGTTTTAGATGAGGAGTGAATGAAGAGTAGACGCCCTCAGAATTATAAAACCTTATGAGCGTGTACTTCCTTTTTATGAGGTGAGCCTGGAATTGCATCCCAAAGAATCCCGAAATTACTTAACACATTTTTGGTTTTAGACGAGGAGTAAATGAAGGGTACACCTTTTGGCTTGATAATTGCGGATGTTAAGGATATTTAGACGAAAAAAGAATTTAAAACTAAATTGATAAGGGTTCTTAAACGGGTGTGGTTTATATAAAGCTAATTGGTAGATGGGAAAAGTATAAATATGTGTGACATCACAACCGTGTCCTTTGCTGACATCCTAGGGGCGCGTCACGCTGACGACAGAATATATTAAAAAATTGCACCTTCGCGTCAACCAAAACAAAAACACAGTAACAAGGATCGGTGATAAAGGGCTTCTTAAAGGCCTTCTTAAGTGATGAATGAGAAAGACTTGTATAGAGAGATGAGTGAGAAAAGGTTCAGCAATGGTGTCCCCTTCACAAGTTTACCAGAGAATTACGTGAGGCCTCTGAGTGAGAGACCCAACCTCCATGAAGTAACCCCATGTGATGCCGTCCCTGTAATCAATCTTAACAATCCCAATAAAACACAAATCGTAAAACAGATTCAGTCTGCCTGTGAATCCTATGGTTTCTTCCAGGTATACTTCTCTCTCTCTCTCTCTCTCTCTATCAGTCTTTCTCTTTCTCTCTCACTCAAGAATGACAAACTTGCCAGGTTGTGGAGCATGGGATACCAGAGGAATCCATTAAAGCTATGCAACAAATTGGGAAGGACTTCTTCAACTTACCTCTGCAAGAGAAACTCCAACACTATTCCGACGACCCGGCCAAGAAATTCAGGCTCTCAACCAGCTTCAACGTGAAGAAAGAGAAAATTCACAACTGGAGGGATTATCTTCGTCTCCATTGTTACCCTTTGGAAGATTACGTTCATGAATGGCCTTCAAATCCCCCTTCATTTAAGTACAACCCCAATTACTTCCACTTACACATGTTTCTCCATTCAATCCAGAAATTCCAATTCTATAGTTGGGAATTTCTTTCTCTCAAAAATTTCATCTCTGTTATGTGCAATCTCTGTGTATATGTATCTCTCTCTCATGTGGGTCGGTTTGTCTTTGCGACGCAGAGAAGTGGTAAGCCAGTACAGTAGGGATGTAAGGGAGCTTGGAGTAAGGATAATGGAGCTCATGTCACAGAGTTTGGGATTAGAAGGTGAATACATAGAGCAGGCATTGGGAAAACAGGGGCAACATATGGCCATCAATTACTATCCTCCATGTCCTGAACCAGAGCTCACTTATGGACTGCCAGGCCACACTGACCCGAATGCTTTAACCATTCTCCTTCAAGACCAAGTAAGGGGCCTTCAGGTGCTCAAAGATGGCAAATGGGTGGCCGTTGATCCAATCCCTAACGCCTTTATTGTCAACATAGGAGATCAACTACAGGTTACTCTCTCCTTCTAATATCTTTTATATTTGATTTGTTAAAAATTAAGGATTTCATTTTTTTTAAAATTACGCATAGCCTTTTTCAACTATTTAGAGCCCTTTTCGTTATTTTATTTTTATAGATGGTAATGTCTGAGTTTTAAGAGCTCTAAATACAATTGTTCTTGCTAGGAATACTCATCAGGTGGAAAATATTTTTTAGAGGTGACATTTACCTGAAAGAGTAAATGTACAGTTTGCTCTCGTAGGAGCACGACATGCGTCCTTTTCCATTAAATATCTGCCAACCGACAGCGATGGGCATGTTGCAGGTGTGAAGACTAGGGTGTCCGTCTCTCTTCAAATCCTGCATCCGCGTTATGCCATTGTGGTTGAGGGCACAAGCGCCACGACCAAGGCTCGAACCCCAAATTGCCTACCAAAAACCAAATACAAACAAATAAAGAGCAAGCATAAGCTAGTCTCAAGGATTCAAATGATACGCAAGTGCCTCAAATTCAACAAAAAGTGAGAAAAAAATTAAAATAAATAAACACTCAAAACCCAAACATGACCTTTATTTTGCCTTTTAAGGATAATTTTTTTGTCCGGGGGATATATTTCTACATTTGCGTCCCCTCAGGCATAAAGCATCCATTTGGATGCAAAAATTGATAGTCCCTCTAAAAACTCACAAATTGAACGCGGTTCAATTTTTTCTTCATACATCATTATTTTTAGTTTCTAATTTATTTATTTATTTTTTACATATTTGTGCTCTCCATTTTAGAGATTATATGTCCTTAAAAATTGGGTCCAAAAATCTATCTCAAACATTAATTTTTAAGAGTGGACTCATTTGAGCCCTGGGACTCATAGAAACCATTTATTTTTTATAATTAAGGTACGTAGATGAATTTAAATTATATCAGTTTTTTCGCAAAAACTTTGGCTCCGGGGTTGGAGTGAAGGTGAGTGCCATAACACTGTGATCGTATTGACTTAGAATTTTAGCATGGTAAAAAAAAGGGGGGGCGAAAAACGAAAGCATAAGATTAAAAAAATGAAGAAATACAAAATTATTTTTACCTTGGGGGGAAGAAAGCACAAGAGTAAAAAAATGAAGAGATACAATTATAAATTTCAAGCAAAATCTGTTACTACATGTTGAATCACATTTGAACTCCATGGTTGTGCATAAGATTACCACCCAAAAAGGCCGTTGCAGTGTGTGTAATTGAAGAACAAATAAGTAGTTGACACAAAAAGACAAAAAAAATTGTATGACAAATAAAGATGTTAAGGATGAACTGAGATTAGAGGTGTGTGCAGGCCTTGAGCAATGGAAGATACAAAAGCGTGATGCATCGAGCAGTGGTGAATTCAGAGAAGGAGAGGTTTTCTTTCGCGGTTTTCATATGCCCATCCACTGATGCAGAACTAGGCCCGATTCCACTACTTATAAAAGACAACAATCCGGCCATTTATCGGAGATTCACTTACGGTGAATATTACGAGCAGTTCTGGAGTGGAAATTTAGATGGAGTGCATTGCCTTGAGTTCTTTAGGGTCCCAAGTTCTTCCGGTGACTAAAGCCTCACGTAGGTGTGGTTTTCACTTGTTTTGGAAGAAATTCAAGTGAATTGGATTACCAAACTCAAAATTAGATTTATTATTATTGCAACGCGTATATGTTTTTTTTTTTTCCCTAGTTTCGAAGACATCCTTAGATTAGTCTTTTTCGTTTTTTGTTTTATTCTTATTATTATTATTTTTTTTTTATTTTATTTTTTTTTTTTGAAGTTAAGTGAGGAGAGTCAAGGTTGGCCACGGACGACTCAACCCAGACCCGATTTCTAATGAGAAGAGGGTTATCTATATTCAGAGATGATGGATGTTCATTTTACTTAATAATATTTAGTACTCTTCTTTTCTATAAAACAATATATATATATATATTTTCAGTACTATTGTTAAAAAAAATAAATAAATAAAAAAGAAGAGGACGATGGAGGAAGAATTTGAGTGGATGTGATGTCCCTTTCGAAGAAACATCGCGGAGGGTTCGTGTAAGTTGAAATTGAGGTGTAGTCATGTGAGATTGCCGTTGTGGTCGGTGCAATCATACCTATCCTATTTAAGACCGGTAGTTTTCGACTTTTAACTTTAGATATTTAATTAGGTGCCGTTCGAAGCAGAGCAGAGGGGATTCCGATGAATATGTGACCTGCTGTTACCCGACATATCATATTGACGGTCCACTATCGATAAATGAATAAGGAGCTAAAAAACAAAGCGGCGAAGAAACATGGCATTCTTTCTTTTATTCCTTCATCTCCCACTGCTCTACTTTTAGGTTCATAGCTTTAGCGGTAGTTTCGGAGATGTTACCTACAAGCAATGGTTTAAAAACCGGTTCGGTGATTCGGATCGGGTTTTCAAAAGTCGATCCGGATCGACGAATTGGCGATCCGGATCGGCGAATCGG